AGGTGTACTTGTCACCATCAGGCTTCTCCTGCAGAGGTCATACAATGAAATTCAAAAGACTTCCATTTTTGTTGTAGTTTTTTTTATTTATTTTTTTTATAAATTACTTACTTGTGCATTTCCGTAGGGCACCAAGGTAACAGACATGATGTCGCTTAGCATCACAAAGGTGGGGAAGAGCATTCCAGCGAGGAAATTCCTGCAGCCGGGACAGAGGCTCTCATAGTAAAGCGCCACCTGGACTGGATCGGCTGTCTGGTGGGTCTTCCTGAAGTCAGCCTCAAGGCACTGCTTCAAAACCTGCATCAAGAGGGGCAAGGCGAAATAAGAAACATAGCTACAATGTCTGAACCACCTGGATCTGCTGCTCCTGACGATGAGTTCAGGGTCAGTTACGCCCCATTCTCCTGAGGAAAACCTCTCCGTCTGTCAGCTAAATCTTTTAGCGTATTTAGCCAATTAGCATTAAGCATCTAGCTTCATGACCCGCCCCCCGTCTGCCTCCGCTCCATAGACCCTATAGGTGTGTTTGATTTCAAGGCTGCATCCTCCAAGGACGCGGTCTACCTGGACTGGATGCTTCGAAGTCCGTGAAAATCCAGGAAGAGTTTGGCAATAGATTCAAACGGGTCAAGGCTTCCACGGCTTTCAGCGCACGCTCTGTTGCTTAGCAACCGTGAGAGTTGACACACAAAGCAGGAAAAGAATGAATACCGAACTTTTCAAAACCATATTTTATTATTTTTTTTAGAGTAAAGTGGACAAAGACTACACTCATGACAACACGGAGTAGAATAAAGGTGACAACCACCGGGAGCATGAACAAATAAAAGCAAATGTAATGATATAAAAGGGGTAGAAAGAAAGTAAATCTAAACAATGTATGTATAAAAAATATATATCTGCAGAATCGCTTATATTCAACAACAAAAAAATACTTGTTAAGAAAATTGTGCAAAACAGCAATAAAAAAAATGTAACTCCTATCAGATTTATATTTATCTGTTACTGTTACACAGTAACAGATAAATACCATTAGTTAAACCAAACATTACCTGCTATATATCTGACTCAATAACAGTTAAAACAACTATTTTCATTAATTTCAGACGGAACTATTCACATATTTGTATTATATTAAACTGAACTTCCAATTTTCACCACTGTTTGGCGCCAAGTAACCTTTCCTTTGATCACGGAGCAGCCGGCTTATTTGGTCTCGCAATGAATTCCAGGATAACCAAGGGAAGATTGGATACATCGAACCAGTCCTTCAAATCGGGCAAAAAGGACGTATTTGTAGGCCGCATAACGTCAAAGGCTTTGACATAATCGTCCTTCGAATCTATCCTTCGGAGGACACAGCCGCTAAATTGGAACTCAGCATACGAGAGGTTTCACCTCACTGGAAATGACAGCTGGTTGCTTGTTATCCAATCAGAGCCCTACTTTCCCACTGGTTGCTTCAATGGAGATTCCTACAGACGGCATCCTGCTGCTACGGAGCGGAGGAGAGATCGTGTGCTAGAACGGCCTCAAAAGCTGCTAAATGTGCAACATACACATGAAATCAGGTGCATTTTAATGGCCATTTGTAAAGTTGAACAACGCTTATTGAGCAATTATTTCATGAAATGTACAGGTGAGGTTTAGCCTTCTTTGTGTTCAAAGAGAAATCGGCACTGATCGTACTGTAAAACATATTTAGCCTTTTGTGTTTTTCATAGATCCTTCTGATGCAAGAAAANGAGGTTTAGCCTTCTTTGTGTTCAAAGAGAAATCGGCACTGATCGTACTGTAAAACATATTTCGCATTTGTGTTTTTCATAGATCCTTCTGATGCAAGAAAATAACTCAGGTCTTTAAGAAAATGGCTGCCTTTTAGAAAAAAATTTAATTTGATAAGAGTAATCACCATTAGATTAACTCAATAACTTGCATCTTGTAGAAATCCTCTTAAGGGAATTCCATCCTTCCACAGCTGACACACATTATAACATCACAGAGGATGCTTTTTAAATGGGGAAAAAGTGTTTTTTGTTTTCTTCTTTTACGTGCTTTTCCAAAAGTATCAGTAGTCCATTTAGAATATATTTAATTCTCTTATTCTCATTTAATTTTAAAACCTAATACTTGAAATAGCATGGTGGTAATTACAAAGAGATCCGATAGAATAAAGAAATAATGAGAATTCAAAAAGTCGCAAGATTACAACTTCATGATATTATTTCTTTAATCTTGCAATATATTGACTTTATTCTCATAATTCTAGTAGGTTATTCTCGTAATATTTCAGGTTTCCAAAAAACTAAATTCTCTTTAGTCTGGCCCAAATACCACGTCATAAAAAATAACAAATATTCTGGGGCAAATATTTTTTTTGTAGTAAAAATAGTCTAAAAATTAGTTTTATTAGCTGGACTGAATTCAGTTTTCTTGTTTTAATTCACACAAAAAAAGTATTTAACTGTAACAGAAACGTAGTTTTTTTTTTTTTTTTTTAAGTGAGAGAAGTGTTTTTTTCCCCCCTTTACAGACATTTCCAAAAGTATCAGCCACATGTGGTGAATATTGATAGAATCAAATCTCCTTTTTTCCTTTTAATTAACTGCAGTAAAACATCTGTTGCTTGTAGAGTCTGCAGACCTCTGCTGCTTCTCAACTGAAGCAAAATGAGCTGGAATTCAGAGCGACGCTAAACGGACAGAATTCATGGGAAGCTCCAGTCGCTTTGCTTCGACCACTTCCTGTTCAGAAGGGAAGTGCAATTCAGGATCCAAGCCTCCGTGAAAAAACTAACCCAGACGATGGTTAAACCAGAGAAACGAGAAGTGTTGGTCACCATCAAAGATCGTTCCACTCACCCCAGACGTTAACTCGAGGAAAAACATCGAACCCAGCTGAAGGTTGAAGCTGAGGTGGTTTTTATTTAGTTAGAGGTCCAATCAGAAGTTTTTTATATTTCAATGCAATCAAATCATCCAGCTGTTTATTTTTATTACGATTGTATGTGATTGTTTCTTTACTTGCATTTTTCCCCCACATACTCCTTCAGCGTCGGATTAAATCGGTCCAACCTTTGGATGTTGGCTTATGCCAGTTTCCAAAAACTGTTTTTGTCACTAAAAGGCAAACATGCACCAAATATGAAAGTTTTTTTTTTAGTAAAAGAAAAAAAAGTTGCATCCAAGCTGAAGAGTATTCTGAAATATGCTGGCATTTCTAAAATGCTCATCCAGGAGGAGGGAAAGCTGCAGCTCAGTGCCTGGATGCACTCTGTCAGCTTGGCTTAGATAAAATATAAACCTTTTTTTAATTAGAAAAGTAACTTTGCCTTTCCCTGCGGTTGTCAGTTTAGACGCGTGTGCGAAAAGAAGACTAAACTGTGTGTAATTTTTGAAAAAAAAAAAAAAATAAATTTTTATTGAATTTGTCCCTCCTAATAATTTTAACCAAACAAAACGGTCAATGTTTATTTTAAAAAGTTTGGCCAAAGAGAACATGGAAGCAAACTGACAGCGAGCTGTGCTTTACTGTCTTTAATCCAAACACCAAAGTTTACTTTAGGTTGAATACCTTTAATAGAATATGTATCAAGATTGTTTATTTCTAGATATTAATCATGAAAAGGCAATACTATCTATATCATCTCTATAGTTATGCTGCTATAGGCTTAGACTGCTGGAGGACATAGGGACCCCTTTTTCATC